AGGAAATAGTGCTGTGTTCTTCACTGACTTCTGCAAACTCTTACATCCCCACCGGGAAGAGCCGTGCTTGAGCGCTAAAGGAAAAAACCAAGAGCTCTGGGGTGGTGGCACAGAACAGGAATGTTGTAAAAAGACAAAGTTTTTGAAAAGAGGTGGAGGAAAAAGCAGAAGAAAACCCACGTGCTTCGAAGAAACACTGAAGTTAAAGAAACACTCAAGGAAGGAAGAGGAAGGCAAGGGGGATGCTGCTTTCGCCTGTGCAGGAAACTAAATGAACAAGTTCAACAGCGCTTTCACCGGGCTCAGCTGCTTCTGAAATCCAAGCGCTCAACAGTTGGACAGCTCAGGCCAGATCCCGGTTGAAAGGATCTTAAATGTCTTTTATCGCCATTAAAACTCTGGCCTCTTCCCTCCACACCTTCAACCCTTGAGCTGTCTGATTCATCAACTCTTTTGTTTTTGAATCATGCACAGGTTTGTCCTCCAGCACCGGTACCAACACGGCCCCTATCGCCACAGCAAACACTGAGTGACTCCCATGATAGCATCCCTGTGCAGTAGGGAAGGTTTAGCCCCATTTCATAGGAAGGGGGGGAAAAAAACATAAAAAAGGAAAGAGATTAAACAATTTGCCTCAAAATCAAACAAATTCTTGAAACAGATAGGGACGCAGATTACATGACCCAAAATCCAAGCCAGTGCCAGCATCACATGGGAATGTTGTAAAAAGACAAAGTTTTTGAAAAGAGGTGGAGGAAAAAGCAGAAGAAAACCCACGTGCTTCGAAGAAACACTGAAGTTAAAGAAACACTCAAGGAAGGAAGAGGAAGGCAAGGGGGATGCTGCTTTCGCCTGTGCAGGAAACTAAATGAACAAGTTCAACAGCGCTTTCACCGGGCTCAGCTGCTTCTGAAATCCAAGCGCTCAACAGTTGGACAGCTCAGGCCAGATCCCGGTTGAAAGGATCTTAAATGTCTTTTATCGCCATTAAAACTCTGGCCTCTTCCCTCCACACCTTCAACCCTTGAGCTGTCTGATTAATCAGCTCTTTTGTTTTTGAAACATGCACAGGTTTGTCCTCCAGCACCGGTACCAACACGGCCCCTATCGCCACAGCACTGAGTGACTCCCATGATAGCATCCCTGTGCAGTAGGGAAGGTTTAGCCCCATTTCATAGGAAGGGGGGGAAAAAAACATAAAAAAGGAAAGAGATTAAACAATTTGCCTCAAAATCAAACAAATTCTTGAAACAGATAGGGACGCAGATTACATGACCCAAAATCCAAGCCAGTGCCAGCATCACATGATGGTGAGAGGATCCCTGCCCTCTTGCTTTCCATCTCCTCCCTCCGGTTTGCAGTGCCCGACTCATCTGGAAGGGGCACCGCTCATGTCTTGCAGTGAGCTCTGAGGAAAGCTTTTGTTTACTGTAACTGTAGCAGCATAAATATTACATGAGGTTTTTGAATGAGAAATCTAAAAGCACAAATGCAACGCAGTACTTCCTCATTAGGGGAAAGATACTTCCCTAAAATGAATGTCAAGTGACGAGGAAACGTCCCCCTTTTAAAGAAGTGAGATTTGGGAAAGCGTGGAAGAGCTGGCAGTAGGGAAGCTACCCATGTGAATGACCTCCGAGTGCGTTAGGACAATGGCCGCAAAACACTGAAACATGATTTAAAATATCTTGACTATGCTTTGGACAGAGCAGAGTCTTTCGTAATAACAAGAGATTTAAAAACTCGCAAAGTTAATTTCGGAGCGCTCTAGCCTTGCCTAGGTCGGGGATGTGTCCCAGTCACAGGGGTACACCTCCCCTAACTGCATTTTCAGTACAAACCATGGCTTTGTCGTGATATGCTGCAGGTTGTATTTAGACAGCTAAAATTATGGGCAAAACCGAGGAAAATCGCCACAGCTGACAAGGGCTAGCAACCTTAACCGAGTGAGACCTGGTTCACTGAAGATAACTCCTTCCTCCTGAGTTGCGCAGTAACCACAAGACTGAAGGACAGAAGTAGGAAAGGATATCTGGGTGTTTCCTCTCTCTTTTGCAAGGCCTCGGAGCTGCATTCAGGAAGACTCTTCACAGGCCACAGACTGGAAGTGGCCTGTGGTCACACTAACGTAGTGCCCCGGGATTATACAGTAAAACCACTGTTCAAATCGATGGCAAAATGAAAATCTATTTACATTTAGCTGTTTGTTTTTGCAAAACCTTTCTCTTGTTAGCTCCTTACAGAATGGAAGTCTCTATTGCAACAACAGCAACTGAACAAAGCAGGGCTCAGCATCGGACACCCAAAGCAAGCAAGAGTTTTCATAAGGCATCGATTCATTCCTAACTGCTACATCAAATTACAGACGTAGCAGAGCCAGCATACTCGTTAGGTGGGTGCAGACCACAAAAGAGTTACGTGCTGCCAGTGTTATGGAGAGCATTCATTTGATTTCACATGTAAGGTCCCCCTTAAAACAAGCATAAGAAAACTGTACTGGTTTTGCACGACTTATCATGCGAACTCCTTGCATAATCAATCATTCATGCTGCCATCCTGCAGGATTACAGGACTGTGGTTCAAAATCCAAACTGTGAGAAAATCCCAGAAAATGCTCCTTGAATTCTTCTGCAATCCAGTTCCCACAGAAAACCACAATAGTCTTGCTTCCACCTGCTTAAAATGGCAACTGGACTGAATATATGTCAAATGTATCAGAGTCACAGCCGCTACAAATCTTGCAAACTGAATTTCCTAGGATCTAAACAGTAATTACTATGTATATAAAAACAATATAAAAACAATAATTAGGATCTAAACAGGTCTTTATAAAAATGTTTTGCTACAATGACCAAATCATCAAAACACTACTAGAGAGCAAAAATTCTGTGTTGAGGTAGGCACCAATCTGTGCAAGGGACCAAACCACAGCAGCATGAGTCAAGTGTCCCTGGGGCTCAGAAGGAAACAACCCAGACAGGATGGCTTTGCCTCACACAGGCATCATTCTAGAGAATTTAATGTGTACATCAACCCTCCGAACCACAACCTTCTGCACATCAAAACCACCCGAACCTACAGGCCACAGAACAAGAGCAAGGCAGAAGCATTCTTTAACCAGCAACTAGAAACTCCTCAGGCTGGATTCGCAATGGATCTGACAGTTCCCTTTGAAAAAGGCCTGAAATGAAAGACAACTGCTCTTCCGCCCTCCTTTAACTGTGCCTCTGAGATACACAAAGATCCGAGATACTTTTTGTTTGCAGCTCTCTTCCGTGTTTGGTTATTTGAATAGACAGGCATGGAAGTTCTTGCCTATCGTGTTAGATTTTCTGACTCACTTCAGAATGAACTGGAATGCAATGGCAAAACCTGGAGATTTATAAGCACGCACTTTCAAACGGCGGTTATCGTTTTGTAGCAGGGCAAGTACATAGCGACCCGCAATAAATGTTAAGCAGCACCTTCGGTGTCCTCCTGGGAGGGACTGCTACTATGCTACTACTGTACGGCTGCAAGTTGTGACAGCAAAGGCCGCCTCCTTCCTTATACCTCAGGCGGGACATTTACTGATGCATCAAGAGTAAACGTAATTCCAGGTGAGCGCTGTTCTTCCTAACTCTGGCTGTAATCACTGCCCTCTGCGCAGCAGGCTGACCGGAGGGATGGGCTCTGCCTGCAACCGCCCCTTTCCCCGGCGTTGACAGCAGAAGCCGGCCCCCGCGCCCCCCCGAGGCCGGGGGCCCAGGCT